TAGTATCTCTATGGAAACATGTTTTACCACAAGAGAGAATATCTCGTTGTAATGAACTCCTTTGATTTGAGTAATTCCTTTGGCTACCAGTCGTGCCTTGAATCTGGGTAGCTCCACTCCTGGAATACCTTCTTTGTACTTGAAGATCTACTTGCATCCCACTATCTTCTTTCTGTGTGGTTTAGTGACGATTTCCCAAGTCCCATTCTTGTACAAAGAATCCATCTCCTCTTGCATTGCTCGTTTCCACTCCTTCCAGTACTTACTTTTCATAGCTTCAGCAACTGACCTTGGCTCTTATATTTCAATATCCTGAGCACATGACAGTGCATAAGAAACGACGTAGTCTCCGCTTGTAAATATCTCTGGTAGCTTTTTGATCCGCAATTCTTTATCCTGAGTACGGATATAATCTCCGAGAGAGTCTGGTTTATTGCTTTCTTGGTTTGATTCCTGCTCCAACAGTTGTTCTGATTCTGATTTGTCTGCTTTGGATGACATTCTGTCTGAATCTGAGCTTTCTCTTTTTGATGAAGCTCCACCTGAATCTGACTCTAAGCTATCCTTTTCTGATGTTGCTCCACCTGAATCTGGCTCTGAGCTGTCCTCTTCAGATAAATCTTCATCTGATCCCAACGGCGTTTCCATTGATCCCGAAGTTGCTCCTTCTGGCATGAGTTTATTCTTTCTCTGTCCGTACTAGAAAGTAACTGCTTTTCCCTTCCTGTCTTTTGGCGCTTTCTTAGGATTCTTGTCTTTAAATATAAGTTCTTCGTGGAACACCACATTCCTACTTGTAGTACATTTGCCATCCTCCGGCATCCAAATCCTATAGCCCTTAACTCCTTGGGGATAACCCATGAAGTACCTTTTAACTGCTCTCAGACTCACTTTGTCTTGTGTAACATGGACGTATGCTACACTGCCAAACCTCCTTAAATGTCCCAAACTGATGTCGCCGCCAGTCTACATTTCCTCTAAAATTTTAAACTGTAATGGTGAAGTTGGTGACCTGTTAATGAGGTACACAACTGTAGAAGCAGCTTCTGCCCAAAACTGCTTTCCAAAACTGCTTTCCAAAACCTGTTTCTGCCAGCATGCATCTGACCTTATTCATGATAGTCCGATTCATTCTCTCAGATACACCATTCTGCTGTGGTGTGTAAGAGCATGTCTTGTGTCTTTTAATGTCTGAGGCCTTGCACAAGTTGTCGAATTGATTGTTGCAAAACTCAAGTCCATTATCAGTTCGTAGACATTTCACTTTCTTCCCTTTCTGAGTTTTCACTAGCTATCTCCATTCTTTGAAGCTCTGGAAAGCTTCATCTATAGTCCTCAGAAAGCTGATCCACACTTGTATTCTCCTGAGATGACTTTCTTTCCTTTTTTTGAAAAAGTTTACTCTGAAGTCTTATCCCTGATACTTGCAGCCGTTTTTCTCTAGTTGACCATATGATATCAGATTTCTCCCCATTGTAGGCATGTATCTGACCTCAATTAACACCACAATTTATCCATCTGGATTTATAATCTTTAGTTTACCAATACCTTTGATCTCACTGACCGTGTTATTCCCCATTAATACTCTGCCTCCTTCGACTTCTTGAAAATCAAATAAGACGTCCTTGTCGGGTGTGATGTGGAAAGTGCATCCAGAATCCATAACCCATTCGTCCTTGGGATCTTGTAGGATCACTATCAACACCATAGGTTCTTGTTTATCTGCGATATTTGCAGCATTCGCCTTTCTCTCTGGACAGTCCCTCTTGTAATGCCCTTCTTTACCGCAAGTCCAACATTTCCTGGCCTTTCCTTCACCTTTATGTTTAGACTTTGATTTGTCTATACTCTTTCCTTTTCCCTTAGAGTAAGACTTATACTTCTTCTCGGTTTTTCCTTTACTAGCATACAACCCTTCTCCTTCACTTTATGATTTTCCCAAGTGTCCTGATTCACGTAGCTCAATTTTTTTAGCTGTTGCAAATGTGACAACCTCTTCTAGCGTCAAAGGTCCCTCACGTTTACCGTACTTCAAAGTATGTACCAGTGGTGCATAAGCTTTTGGTAATCCTGACAGTACTTGTACAGCTTGATCTTCGTCTGTTACCACGATCTCAAGACTCTCTAACTCATCTACGATTCTCAAGAACAGATCCATATTTTCTTCTATGCTCATGTGTTCTTCCATCCTGAAGCTGGCGAATCGTTGCTTTATTTATACACGATTAGGTAGGATTTTTGCTTGATATTCTCGCTTAAGCGCTTTCCAAACATCTGTGGCAATAAATTCTTTTATTACTTTTCTCAAGACCATATTTGATAAACTCGAACATATCTGATTCTTTGCTCTTACGTTTTTCTCCTTCATGATGTTCTCCGTGAGACTCGTCTCTGGTTTCGTCTATGGTAGTACAACTCCTATTCCTTTGTTCTTTGAAGGAGACGCTTGGGTAACTTCTTGCAGAACCTTTCCGAGACCTTGCAGTTCAAGTTGCATAAGCATCTTGAAATTCCACATGCCAAAATCTCTCTTGCCATCGAACTTTTCCATTTCAAATTTATGAACTAGATCCATAGTTTCTTGAGCCTCCGATTTCGGCCAGTGCTTATCTCCCGAAACTATGCTTTCGAACCGCCTGGATTCTTCCTCTAGGACTTAACTCACACTTAGAGCAAAGACTCTTGCAGCTTGATCGGATCTTGTAACACACAGCCTTGAGTATTTTACCGTAATTACTCTACGCAAACTTAAAAAAAATCAAAACTCTACGCAAACTAAAAAAATTGTAAAAAATAAGTATTATACGTTAACAAATACTTTATATAGAATAGGTAGTTCTAATTTATGATTTACATATTCTTTAAATCTTTTTTTTTGTATACCAAAGAAAGACACTATATTTTACAAATTTACGTTCTTTATTAATTTATCAATATATGATTTATGTCAAATATACAAATTTCTAAATTTTCAATGAAAATATTACAATTTTACAAAGAAAGAGTATATAAATAAAAATAGGTAATTTATAAATATATAAAGAGTATACAAAGAAAGAGTATACAAATTAAGAAAAACAGGTAATTTGTATATGAGAAAGAATACTTTACAAATAGGTAATTTGTAATTTCTAAACAAAGAAAGAGGTATACAAAGAAATAATATAATTTAGAAATTTATTATCTTTCTTAATTTATAAATTAAGTTTCAATTTATAATATATATAAGGGATATGCTGAATCTAGTGTATATCAAAGCAAAACTATAGAAGAGTTGTCAGACATCAAACAAAATCAAACATGGCTAAAGCACATATATGTCTTTGTTTCATCATCTTTTTATACCATTCTCGGGGTAATTAAATCACAACCAGTCATCAAACTTAATAAATTTTATAGTTAAATTGAAAGTTTTTTGGATACTTTTTTTTTTGTATACCAAAGAAAGACACTATATTTTGCAAATTTATATTCTCTATTGATTCATAGATTTATGATTGATGCCAAATTTACAAGTTTTTTAATTTTCAAAGATAATATTACTTTTTGTTTTATAAAAAATAGTATATAAGGAAAATTCGTAATTAATAAACATATAAAGAGTATACAAAGAAATAGTATTTTAAAATATAGTATACAAATTAAGAAAAACAGGTAATTTGTATATGAGAAAGAGTATACTTTACAAATAGGTAATTTGTAATTTGTAAACAAAGAAAAAGGTATACAAAGAAATAATATAATTTAGAAATTAATTATCTTTCTTAATTTATAATATATATAAGGGATATGCTGAATCTAGTGTATATCAGAGCAATGCTATGGAAGAGTTGTCAGACATCAAACAAAATCAAACATGGCTAAAGCACATATATCATATATGTCTTTGTTTCATCATCTTTTTATACCATTCTCGGGGTAATTTAATCTCAGCCAGTCATCAAACTTAATAAAATATATAGTTAAATTAAAAGTTTTTGGATACTTTTTTTTTGTATACCAAAGGAAGACACTATATTTTGCGAATTTACTTTCTTTATTAATTTATAAATTTATGATTTATGCAAAATATACAAATTTCTAAATTTTCAAAGAAAATATTACAGTTTTACAAAGAAAGATTATATAAAGAAAAATAGGTAATTTATAAACATATAAAGAGTATACAAAGAAAGAGTATCTAAAGAAAGAGTATACAAATTAAGAAAATCAAGTAATTTGTATATGAGAAAGAGTATACTTTACAAATAGGTAATTTGTAATTTGTAAACAAAGAAAAAGGTATATAAAGAAAGAGTATACAAAAAAATAATATAATTTAGAAATTAACTATCTTTCTTAATTTATAATATATATAAGGGATATGCTGAATCTAGTGTATATCAGAGCAATGCTATGGAAGAGTTGTCAGACATCAAACAAAATCAAACATGGCTAAAGCACATATATCATATATGTCTTTGTTTCATCATCTTTTTATACCATTTTCGGGGTAATTTAATCTCAGCCAGTCATCAAACTTAATAAAATATATAGTTAAATTAAAAGTTTTTGGATACTTTTTTTTTGTATACCAAAGGAAGACACTATATTTTTCGAATTTACTTTCTTTATTAATTTATAAATTTATGATTTATGCAAAATATACAAATTTCTAAATTTTCAATGAAAATATTACATTTTTACAAAGAAAGAGTATATAAAGAAAAATAGGTAATTTATAAACATATAAAGAGTATACAAAGAAAGAGTATCTAAAGAAAGAGTATACAAATTAAGAAAAACAGGTAATTTGTATATAAGAAAGAGTATACTTTACAAATAGGTAATTTGTAATTTGTAAACAAATAAAAGAGGTATAAAAGGAAAGAGTATACAAAGAAATAATATAATTTAAAAATTTATTATCTTTCTTTATTTATAAATTTTGTTCTTTCTTAATTTATAAGTTAAGTTTTAATTTATGATATATATATATATAAGAGATATGCTGAATCTAGTGTATATCAAAGCAAGGCTATAGAAGAGTTGTCAGACATAAAACAAAATCAAACATGGCTAAAGCACATATATGTCTTTGTTTCATCATCTTTTTATACCTTTCTCGGGGTAATTTAATCACAACCAGTCATCAAACTTCATAAAATTTATAGTTAAATTGAAAGTTTAAAATTGACTGTATGCTGTTCCAAGTTCGTTAACAATCTTAATTTTATGTTGATGTCTTTTTTGATAGAAGGGAGTTTCGCGAGCATCAACAACACAGAGGTAAATGTTAAAGATAGCTCAAAAGTTAAACAAAACAAAATGCAATCTCATATGTTTTTATGCTCTTTGTTGCAGAGCCAGGGGTCTTGGTGTGTGGCAAAACCAGCTGTGGAGAATGAAAAACTTTTTGAAAACATATATTTGGCATGTGCTATAATCGATTGTGCAATTATATATGGAGGTCCATGTTATCTTCCTGATGATCTCCATAATCGTGCTTCTGTCGCCATGAATCTTTATTATCAAACTCAAGGAAGACACTTTTATGATTGTGATTTTGAAGGCTCTGCTATCATTGCCGTAACTGATCCTAGTGAGTTTCATCTTTTTCTTCGTCCCTCTATAAACAAATTATGTACTACTTCTTCTGTCAGTCTAAAATCAATATTTTCTTTTTCTTCTTTTCAGGCTATGGGGATTGCAAATATGAAGTTCGCTAGTGAGGTATATGAATCCTCATCCTTGTTGTTTTTTTTTTTGAATTTTTAAATAGCCTCATCCTTGTTACCAAAAGAAAAAGAAAAAAAAGAGAACTCCAGTTCTCGAATTTCATATATGAAAACTAAAGTTGATATGGTTCGATTTTGGAACTATTACATATTTAAGTTTTTTTTTATATTCTGTCATTGTCAAAAAAAAAAATTGTTGAGCAAGTAAGAGGTCGGTAGAGCCCAATAACTCTCTTACTTGGAAATTACCGCCCCGTCTGTCAACACGACTCTACTCAATACGATGCCAGAGGTCCTTGTAGAGAAATGGTATCAGAGCCCGATGCTTTTCGAATTGATAAAAGGAATCTTTGTTTATGATTGATTGTTTTGAATGTTCTGGAAAACACTTTCGCACTATGTCAACTTCAAATCTTTTATCAATCGATTCTTCATTTTCAATTTCTAATTTACCAAAAAACAAAAGTCATTCGTCCTTTTCCAGCATAAATCCGCTATACGAAATCGAATATGTTACAGGAGATAAACTACCCGAAATTACCCTCCCACTGGTGAATCCATACGAATACTTTGCTAAAAAGCCTAGCGTCTTATCAATCAAAGGTGTCCGTGAACTAATAAAACCATCTTCAAACAGATTTCATAGAGTATGTCAAATCCAGCAAATTCTCGTCATGTCAAGTCCCAGCCACTGAAGAAGAACAGTTCATCTTGCTCAACATTCCAGAAAATCTAACAAAATTGTGGTAACAGCACAGATACACTCATCTTCACTTTGGAGTAGTACGAATTGGTCTAACCCTAAACGCTCGAAAAGGTCTACCAGTAGTAGCTCGCATAGCTTAAGTCGACTAAAGACTAAAGTCTTACCAACAAGCCTGCATCGGAACAATTCAGACAACAATAAACGCAGGAACAGTATTTGTAACACTGTTTCCAAACTTTAATGTTTCCCTGAAGATCCCAATCTGCTACAAACGCTCAAATCCAATTTCAACTAGTCGGAGCAGCTATGCAAGAAAAAGCGTCGTAGCGACCCTACACCATCATATCATCTATCAAATCCAAGATCATGCTTTTGATCTTGCACTACCTTCATCTGAAGAAGCTTTATACCTCGAAGTCACATCGGCATCGCAGGCACCCAACTCAATTCAGATTCCTCGACAAATCTCTCGCGATGAGTTACTACGCCGACTACCAGAATCACGGGTAGCGAGCTATGAAAAGCTACATCAAGCAACCCAGATACCGGCTCAGACATCTGAAGTCAGCTTCCATTCTCGAAGTGATGGAACAACGAAAATCAGTTCGAAAAACCAAGATCATCATCGTTTCGGAAGCAACTGTTCAGTCAGTTTGACTTACAAATTGATGAGCATAATTTCCATTATCCATTCAAGGAGCAGGTCCCTAGACCAATTTCTTTTGGTTAAGACGGAACAATCATATACCCTTTCAAGGATGAGAACGGACATCAATACTTCGATGTATGTTCTTGCACTGCTTGCCCTGAGGACTTCTACGAGTCTGACGAAGAAATCCGCCAGAGACAAAGAAAAAAGAAAGATCCTCTTTACAAGAGATATCTTGAGAGCGATTGCACTGTCGGACTGTTATGTGACGACAAATATGATTTGATTGTCCAATACTCGGAGAAAAGGGAAGAACCTAAAATCATGATGATGCAAGCAAACAATTTCCCTTCACCTGAAGATTTCACCAAAGACGGTATCGCTCATAGTCTGAAGATCCTCACAAGAGCCATCAACTCTACCGGACCTGACCAGCTAAGCCAGGGAGAAAAGGTCCTTAACTGGCAAACAGAGAATGCCCTAGTCTAAAATCAACTTTTGACAACAATAAACCATAAAGTTGTTCAGCTTGCTGACGGCTATAACAAAAGATTGAGCAGCCTATAAAGCTCAATAATTGAGATCTATAGCCGATTTAATAATCTTTATCAAGAAATGACAGCTATGTCACAACACATGATGGTTAATACGTCCAATTTCAGAAGCAAAGAAGCTAAAACAGTTATCCTCAAAAACCAGCTAAAAGATCTCTAGAAATGTTTAGACAGCATGATTCATAATCGGAATCAAGCAGATACATACTTTAATCCTCTTGGAAGTATGCCATCAGGAATACCTAGGCTTTCTCTCTGGTTATCAAGAACAACGGATGAAGCCATCTCTCCCAGGATTCTTATCATCCGACGAAGCTTCACATCTCGATATGGCACGCCATCAGTTAGCAATTTTAAAAGGACAACTCGGGCAAAACCAAGAAGACAAAAGGACTCAGAATTCCTAGTCAATCCAACCAAGAGACCAACTCTTACCTCCTCCTTAAGCCACAAATCTATTGAAGATTCAAAAAGAAGGAAAAGGATATCGGGATAATTGAATTTTCGATGTCCAGCTTACTCGATCGGCAAAAAATCTAGTGAAAAGGCACCTAAAGGACAGGCCCAATCACTTCAAGGAAGTTCGTTACAGCCAATCACTATGATCAAGCATATCTCTGATACAAGCTCCACTAGCTACGATGACAGTTCAGACAAGGAGTTTCTCCCAAAGCAATTCGCTATAGGATAAGGATCAAATGCCCCAAAAAGAGAACCAGATATAAATGAGGTCCTTTCAAGCGATGAGGAGATGAATTACACACACCCTAGAAATCAAGAAATGCCATCAAAACGGTTCACTTTAAGATTCATGACATTCACGTTCAATGACATTCCCTCTGAAAAATGGAATGACCGACTTGACGAATTTCATGCATGGATGACTGCAGAAGCCATAACATCGCCATTAGAGCTTGTTGTTGATAGAGCTCAGGTTTTACCCAGATAAATACTACTGCAAGTGCACAGCAAAACAGTTGTAGTATAAGAGGTTATCGAATCCCAAGGGAGTAAGTAAACAACACTAACAATTATAGATTTGGACTAGGCTAAGCGGTATATAATAAATGTAATGCGAAATAGCTAAAACAATGAAAGCAAACGAAATTTGATTGATCTAAGATTCAGAAAACTAAAAGCGCTAAGTCATGACAGTTCGCAGGTTGAATACGAGAATGTAGAATGCATAAAATCAGGAATGAATAAGAACCGTCTTGAACAAGAATCATAAATATATAACTAATCAATTCTCATTACAGAAGTTAACTATGTCTAAATAACAGAGTTTCAAATCTCTCTGCAAATCCTAACAACCTAAACATGCAGTTATGATCAGGTTCTATTGTTCACAAGACTCCTAAGCCAAATCTCTTTGCACTAAGTCGTTTTGCTCATCTAATGCTAAATTAGGTTATCAATAATGCTCTCACATCTATTAAATAACCTAGGTTTCGAATTTCCAGATGATGTGTCTAGAAAATCGGTTTTAAAGCAAGCATAGATGAAGAACCAACAGATATTCCTAACAGGTAGCGATTTCTACAAACTCATCATCAACCCTTGAAAAGCCCTAACTTAACTAGCAGATTACTCATACATGATCATGGAATCATAAAGCACAGCTGAATAAACTTGCATTAAAGAGAAAGAGTAAAAGTTAAAGGGGTTCAAAATCTTCTCAAAAGAGTACATGATATGTCTCCCCAAAAAGTTCTGAATTAATATGTGGAAATCCGACCCGGCAAACTATACCGCAGCCGTGCCCCACTACATCCTAGCTGTTCGGTTTCTATACTTAGCCAAATTTTAAACATTTTCTTTGCATTTAACCAATACACAGCGGAATAAAGAACAACTTCATTTCATTATAACTTGAATAAATCACTTAAACAGGATTTTGGGGGGTTAACTTAAACAAAGCACCATGGTTCGCTAACGATTACATCATATCATCTAGAAACCTAAAACGCTTAACACCAACTCATAAGACAAAGCACACGTCTTAAACATAAATAAACACCCAATCCCCGATCCATCCATGTTCATTTAACCTAACCAACCAAGATCAATCCCTTTTTAAGACCCATATCCACTTCAGCGAGAATCCCACATCCCCTAAGCTAGTACATGATCTGGATTACCTTGAGGTTAGCTAGACATCATCTATGCCACAGTAAACACCTAACAATACCATAACATATAATCGCTTATCAGCTCTAAACACACAACATGAAATTCACACAATCAAACATGCAAACATTCAACCCTAGCAATCCAACGATCCTAGACACCAACCACAGTCACGCACTCACCTTAAACAAGGTTGGAAACAGATTGGTCAAATGAAATCCCGATGAAATCCACACCAAATCGAAGATATCCGATCACGCTAGGAATCTCTCGGCTGTCCGTACGATCGGATCCCTTTCTCCTCGGCTATCTCTTGATCCGTTCACCTATCTCCGAGCCAAACTGTGTTTACCCTCGGAAACCCCACAAAACAAGACTATTAGCTCGAGGTTATCCGATGAAAACTCAACACTTAGGAAATTATTCAGTCGCTTACCGATTTATCTCGGTGATGGTCGGATCTGCTCGGCGATAGCTCAATCTCTCTCGGATGTCCTCGGGATAAACTGCTTTTCTTAGGGTTTTCTGTCGACTAAACTCTCTCTTTGCTTTATTTAGCTCAAACAAACGCAATACCCTCAAATTAAGTCTCAAAAATCCTTATGTACTCGCAAAACCCTAGATAACTTGGACTTAACCGACGTTTTCCTGGTTCCAGTAGGATTTATCCCGAACCGATCCGATATCTCTCGGCTATTTCCCATACCGACTGACCATCCACGCAATAAACCATAAAATAGCCGACATACTCACTTGGCCCACAGCCCAAATCCCTTTCCTCTCGGATAAACTGCCCTTATCCGAGTTATTTCCATTTTCTACCCATATATTTCCTTTTCTCTTGGACAACTTGTCCCACCTCGACTAATCTTTTTTTCCTCTCGGAGGTTTTCCTCTTTCCCTCGGAGACAGTCCACTGTCACTCGGACTAACCTCACTATCACTCGGATAAATCCCATTTTCTCACGGACTGGACCATTTTCTCTCGGATATGGTCCATCCGGCTCAGCTATCCCAGCTATCCATCCGACTATTTCCTAGTCATCACCCAACCATATTCTGAACCTCCCAGTTCCCAGCCAATATCCGTCCTTTCCTC